CTTCTGGGGCAGAGCAGGTAGGACCTGGCGCAGCAGAGCAGAGCCGGGTCATGAGGGGAAGCTCCTTGCTGCTATGAGCTCCTCACTGCCCTAGCAAGGCATCCCCTGCTTGCCCAGCAGCAGCAGGAGTTGTGGTGTGGGGTTGTGCTCCTCGCTGCTGCGGGGCAGACAAGGGGTGCATCAACAGGGCAGCGTGGAGCTTGCAGCAGTGGAAACAAGCTTCCCCACCCATCCCCACTGTGTGCTGCTGGGTCCTGCCTGCTGCGCCATGGAGGCCCTGAGAGGGAGGGCAGCAGGGTGGGGAACCTGAGCCCACAGCGGCCAGCCTGCACCCCTCCCCCCCCCCGATCTACTTTAACCATGCCACCTGTGAGAGAGGGGGAACCGGGCTCTGTTTTCTGCTTTACTGCAGCAGCTGCTGCCTCCTGTGGGCAGCAGCCAGGGCTCAGGTACTGCTGCGGGGGGCAGGGGTCTGCAGACCTGGGTTCCTGGTCCCGTAGCCCTGGCAGGTATGGTCCCCTCAGGCAGGGCTGGAGGGTAAGGGGGTTGTTGGTGGGGGAGTGAGGGGCATCAGCAGGGCCAGGGGGTTGTGGGGGGGAAGGTAATTCTTGGGGGCTGTGGCTTGGGAGGATGGGCCTGGACCTGCATTGTGTGATTTGAGGGGACAGAAGGAGCTCTGATTTTCCATGATAAAAACCCAAAATCAAATACCAAAATGTATAAGAATTTAAGATTTATTACATTATGCTGATTGAGGCACTGGTAGGTTTCCAAATTGCTTTAAAACTCTAAATATATCAATAACACATTGTGTTCAGCTGATATCTATACATATAGTGGCCTTTCATCTTAATCATGGATTTGGGTTTTTAATCAGAGAATTTGCAATTTTTTATCAGAGAATTTGCAATTGTTTTTTGTTGTGGAAGACCAGGATCCCTGCTAATGAGGGGTGCCTCAAGTCCAGTAAGGTTGAAAACCACTGGGGTCGAACAATAGCAAAGCAAATCAAGTGTCCACATGCAGCTAATGGTGCTTTTAGCACATTTTGCTCAAGACATGTTCTGAACCTTGAACAGTTGACATGGGGTAATAATAAGGAGCCTTATATCCAGTGATCCTTTTGCTATAACTCCCACAGCCTGGAGGCAAAGTATTGTATTTACTGAAAGCTAAAATCAAAATTGGATGCTTGTAAAATTTATAAACAGCATAGATCTTAGTTTTGTCTCTGAGGCTAAGAACAGACAGTCAAAAAGCCTGAGGCTGAATCAATTCAATCTTTGCAGGTTACTCTAAACTGTAGATTGAACCAATAGGCAAGTGAATAGACTTCCACTTTTGATTCTGGAAATGCCTGCAGTGACTCAGCCCAGAAGCCCGGGGCTCTAGAGCACACCTCCCTGTTCTGCTTAAGCAGACAGCTTGGGCCAAGGCTAGCCTGCCCACCCTGTGAGGTGGGGGGGGCTTGCAGGGAAGGTACAAAGCATCCTGGGGTGCTGGGGGACTGTGAGCTAATTTGAATGTGGAGGGGATCTGGTACAGAAGTTCAATAAACTGAGTTAACCTAAATCAGTTAAGTCTGATACTACATCCATCCAAGTTTATATTAAACCAGGTTCAGTCATTTTGAACTTCTATTGTACTACAGATTTGGACTAGTTTTTTGATCACTTATACCGGTTTATATGTAATTTCTGTCCCTAGCTTAAAAGATATTTTAGAGTCCAACCACAGACTACCCATAAGCCTGGATCTGTGCTGGGTTTGTGCAGCCACTTTGGCATGGGGCAAAGGGAACTAAACTCTATTTTCTAAGCTATGGGAGAGAACAGGGCTGAGATTTCACACAAATGAATCTTACCCTGATCCAAGGGGGCTTTTTGCAGAGCTTCACTGCTGCAGTTATGCATGTTTTATGCGTGTTACTGCTGCAAGGCTGCAAAAATCCCCGTAGCTTTGGGAAGAGGGAAAAGAGAGTTAGGTACAGAGACCATATGTCAGGGGTGTCAAACTCATCTGGCCCCTCAGGCTAGATGAGTGGCTTCAGGTCAGTCCACAGACTATTGGGTTCCTTTTCTCCCTTCCCTTTCCCCTTCCTCAGCATACGTGATCTAACAGCTGCTCCAGTCAGTTTGGGATCTGTGCTGCATATGCAAGGGATTCCAGAACATCCAGAGCAGGTGCTTCATGTGGTACAGTCCAGCCAGAGTGACAGCTGCACTCGTACTGTGGCTGCCCTGCCTGGACTACACTGCACGTGGCAACTGCCCTGGTAGCTCTGGGACTGCACCGCATGTGGCACATTGCTCTAGCCGGTTCAGGACCTGCATTTTTGTGGTGGGTGCAAGTACTACCTACAGCCCATGTCCCAGACTAGCTGGAATGGGCACCACATGTGGCTTATGTCTCAAAGAGGTGACTGTGTTTGGCTTATTCCAGCTGGACTGCTCTGGCCAGACTGTGCCACATACGATGCCTGTTCCAGCCACTCTGGGATCCATGCTGCATGCAGAACAGGTCCCAGACCAACTGGAGTGGTCACCAGTTCAAGTGTGCTGGGGAAGGGAAAGGGGATGGGGTGCATGTGCCGTATCCAGCCTATGGACCAGCCCTGTGCCATGCACTGCACATAGGTGTGATCAGACCCAGGGGCAGCACCGGCATCCAGTCGGCAGGGCTTTGGGGGCCAAGTATGGCCCACAGGTCTTATGTTTGACACCCCTGCCCTATGTTGTTTTTGAAGGCATTCTGTGGTGATGATCTTTGTTTCTCTAATAGTTTTGATCAATGGGACAGGCTTGAATTATGCAGTTCATTTAGGCCTAGTTCAAAAGATTGCTAGAGTGAAAGGGCTTTCACTAATTTGAGTAATTTTGGATTGAGGCCACAGTCTCAAGGCTTACCCTCTGTCACTTTTTCCCATGTTAGGCAACTACAGGAAGTAATAATGTCTTTGCTGACATTATTTTACAGCCGTTTGCTATCCTGAATAGCAGCTGGGCAAGGTTGGAATCATGGGCAAGCTGCTGTGACTTACTCAGTGTCTTCTTTGCATAATTTCCTTTATTCTTTTCTGAAGCTTTTGAGCAAGGTACAGGTTGTTACTGGACCAATAGGATTTAACAGCATGAGGGCTCAGTATCAGTGTCCTGACATCTTTTCTCAACCATTCCCATATTCATTTGGAAACCCCCTCCCCCACAACTCCACCCCTGCATGCCTCTGCCTTGGCCTGCTGCACACTTGGCAGCAGGAGGAGAGTAATATGAAGTTTTGAAGAAAGGAGAGTATAGTTGATGGTTCTGTCCATTTGTGTTTGATGTCTGTAGGCTCTCTCTCTCTCTTTCTCTCTAAATTTCCTCTGTGCACCAACCTTAAAAAATGTATCCTTCACAAAAAGTGGGGACAGGTTGGGCCCAGTCTTCAGGCAAT